CACTTAGCATGTTTATTAAACATTTATAAAGATATCGTAGACTTAAAATATAAAAATATTAAACTAAGGAGGTAAATCGGATCTATCCGAATGCATAAAAAATTTATAGTTTGTGATTTTCGAAAAGCCACGGGCAAAAAGAAATAAAATAGTATTGCGGGAAACCTCCCGCCATACTATTTTTTTCTTTTTGCCCGTGAACCCATAAGTTAGGGAGAATTCGTAGTAAGTAGTTAACTAAAACTATTTGAACTTTCTATAGAACGGAACTTGACACCAGATCTGGCCACGTTTTCATGATCCACTTAGCTTCGTATTCTTGAAATAAAAGTATCTGAAGGCTAAAGAGGGGTCATCAAGTACTACGCAGTAATTGTTCTTCGATGTCCTCAAACAAACTTGAGAGGCATCTTCATTGTAAGCTGATCAAGATCTTTTGATCAAGTAAGCTTGGATGAATCTTTGATTATCAGGTGACACTTGAAAATGTTATTCACAGAAAATTATTTATAATTTGAAGATTTCGTTTGGATTCATCATGAATCAACAAACATATGTTGCTGTCACATTTTTGTGCCAGCAATTGTAGTTATACATAATATAATTTAAATTTGATCTGTATGTATTATGTTGAACCTCATATATCTCACTTTATGATAGGGATTGGAAATGGCCCGTCCTTAGGGCGGAAAAAAGGAGAAAAATGTACACCTGACGAACCTAACCTATCAGTTGAGATAAATAAATGCCGGAACTAATTTATTTTAGCTTATGACAACAGCTGGGTGACATCTCACCGCTTCGCTGGGCTCATTTATATATAACTAAGTATAAAACCAAGTCGTCCCGCTGTCTGTCTGTCCCTATGTATGCTTAGATCTTTAAAAGTACGCAACGGATTTTCATGCGGTTTTTTTACTACATAGAGCGATTCAAAAGGAAGGTTTATATGTATAATACATTGAACCCATGCGAAGCCGGGGCGGGTCGCCACTGTCTAATAATGTACACATAACAAACCAAATCAGTTTTAAGTAAAATATAAAACCGTTTAAAAACTTTTAAATCAAAGTTTTTTTTTGCACTGAAAACTACAATATTGTATTGTCATCTAAATTAAATGTGTGTACCAAATTTCAGATCAATCTGACAACGGGAAGGTGCTTAAATTTCAATTTCTAATTTTGACCCAAATAAACAAATAAATTCCGTACGTGTCGAGCTAAATAAAACCGTTTAATAACTTAATCAACGTAAAACAAAAACAAATAAACTAAAATCTTTAAAACAGAAATAATTTCTAAACTTTGAAATCGGTATGAGTCTCCGCAATATTAGCTTGTTGTCTGTATTTAAAAATGACTATTTTTAAAATAAAAAATAATATTATTTTCCATTTTCTTTAAAAACATTAATTTCTTCTTGGCTTTTGCAATAGCGAATAATGCGTGTACGTCCAGTAGCAAATGCGATATGTACATATTGTAATTTAAATTGTTATTATTTTTATGAAATTTTTATTAAATCTAAATACAACCTCCTTATTCTTATTAATTTTTTATGTAGTCACGGTGTACTTTTATAAGATTTTAAACGAGTTGTGGACAGGAGTGTACTTTATATTTAAACCAATTATTTTTTTCATGCAATAAATTTTATTCTAAGCACAAAGAAATGTAGGTGTACTTTTAGTAGGCATGTATAAATATTATCAAAAAAGCTCTTTTCATGTCAAACTTCCTTATTAATTGTCGAATTTGTAAATAGTATCTATATCCATTATTCAGTTCCATGGAACATGTTAATAGTGAATGAGATAAACATTTCCACTCGTATATATTATGTTGAGGATCATCGCGAACTGCTAAGAGAGTACCAGTACCTTATTAGACGTTCGCCGATTGTCGGGAAAAACGTTGTTGTCAAAATAGAAGAAGTCAAGTCCGGTCGAAGTACGTTAGGGAGGATTGAAGGTCAATGGATATTTGGCGGAGAGGAGAAAGAAAACAACGCCAATCAATTTTTTTTTCAGCGTCGCAACGGGGTGAGGATAATATCGTTGCTGCGTTGTAATTTTAAGTGAGAAACAATAAAATAAAACTGGCCCAGTGCGAATTTTGTATACAAATTTTTTTTTTTCTACAAAAACGACAGAAAAATCATGTCTGTTTTATCGGAGCCAAACTTAAATATTTTCTTATTATGTATTATTTGTTATAAAGTAACAGTCTATACATGTCCCACTGCTGGGCAAAGGCCTCCTCTATATAGAGGGTATCAGGGCATAGTCCACCACGCGGCCCCACTGCGGATTGGCGGACTTCACATATCTTCGAAATATTTTTTTTTGTTATTATTTCGAAAATATGCAGGTTTCCTCACTATGTTTTCCTTCACCGCGGAGCACGTGATAAGACAGCACTTAAAGTTAAAAACTTCATTGGTGCCGGCACCGGGGATCGAACTCAGGTTGCTCGAGTATTTTGAATTAAAGGCGAGCGCCCGGACACTGCTATCACGGCTCTATTGGCACTTATTTGTTATAGTGGCAAAAGAAATATATAATCTGTGAAAATTTCAACCATCTAACTATCACGGTTCATGAGATACACAGCTTGGTGATGGACAGACAGTGGAGTCTTAGTAATAGGGTTCCGTTTTACCCCTTGGGTACGGAACCCTAAAAACACCTCAAATATTCTACTCACTCACTATACCTTTTCTCTTTGATTTTTTTTTGATTGAGAGCCCTGTTGTATCTCCGGAGTCCAAGGTTCAATACTAATGAAATTAATATGGGGCTGCATGGGGGCAAAACCGAACTCAATCATAAAATAATATTTAAAATCTATGCACAAATGACGAGGTTCTGAGGTAACGAATATAGAAACAACAATTGTAAAACTCCTCCTTTTTGAAGTCGGTTGAAAAATATTATTCTGCGGAAAAGTGTGATTCACGGTGACTAAAAGCCTATGAAGACCTAAAGAGTTTTGGCTGTAAATCGCAGCATTAATTTTGTTGATCCAAGCACTGAGTGCCCACACCCAGAACATAGAATTTGACGGGATTTGCGCACAAACGTAACTCAGTACAGTCGCTTTGAAATGCACCTCATAGCCTACCTGGTTAAAACGCGGTTTCGTACTATTTTAATCCACGTCATAGCCTAACTGCGGCGCGGTTTCGTACTACTATTAAATTTTACTATTTAATTTTATTCCATAAACCTGCTGCCACCTGGGGAGCGTTTCCAACATTTCTGGAAAGCTGTGAACGTCATTTACCATCTAATGTTTTAAAATTTAAGTATTATTATTTATTTTAATTTTAATAATAGGTTTTAATTAGTTTTAATAGGTGTATTATGTACTCGTATATATATGGACTTAATGAAACAGTAGATTTCCTTAGTGCGAAATTTCGAGATATAATTTTTTTCTCAAATCCAACCGTCAAGTCTTTCAGTCGTTTCCTCAGATTTTTACTTATTATTTATTTTAAAGGTGACGGTCTATCCAATCTAATTTTGATTGGCGTATTGAAAATAATTACCTATGTAATTAGTTATGATAATAATTTATTTCAACGTAAATAAAATGGCCGTATTTCAGTTCATTTTTGGGGAATCTGTCTAAAAATTCACTTCAGAAAAATTTATTTAATTTCATAATTAGGAATATTGACGTTAAAATGTACTTCTAAATTAAGTTAATGTATAAAAATGAATATAAAAAATTAGTTCAGACCAAGATGCATACTATAATGAAAAGTATGATGGATTGCAACAAAATATCAATAATATTCTTAATAGATTTTTAGTTTTTTAAGATTAAGTTTTACATTTAGTGCTAGTCTCTGCACTCAAGATGAAACTTTAAAATTTACTAGAAATTAAAATATGTACACTTTTCCCGTAGCTTTCTTTATAAATTGGAATAATAATCTCAACATAGTTGATGACTCCGTGGCGTAAGTGCTTCGGCGCCGGGGGTCGTGAGTTCGATTCCCAGACGAGGTAACTATTTTTGTCACCCACAAAATAACTGTTTCGAATCTGGGTATTTGTCCACGTGAAATTCATTTATTTAAACCGTCCTTAAAACACAAGATAACGCTGTTGGATAGCCATAATTAAAAGCAAGGGGCAATGTGTTTAAAAAAAATAAGTAATAGAGGTATAAAATATATACTTATGAATTTTTAACTGCGGTAGGACCACGCAACAGTGTTCACTGTTGCACGAACGGGCAGGTCCGTCCGGGTAATTACCACGACCTCACAGAAGACCGGCGTAAAGTAGAAGTATTACACTTCTCCGTTCCGTCTGGTGAGTGAGGTATACGGGGCCCACTTTATTTAAAGGTGGCAACGCATTTGCATCCCTACGGGTGTTACAAATGTCCATGGGCGGGGGTTATCACTTGACATCAGGTGAACCGTCAGTTCATTTGCCACTTTCAGACATAAAAAAAGTTGTACTGGAAAGTGTTTCAATTTTTTTTTATCTTCTTTGAAGAAACATTTTCCAAACCTAGGCAGTTTGTTAGATGTCAAGATAAAATGAGATTTTTATAATCCGTTGCTGAGAATTACAATTAAAATACGGACTTTCTCTAAACCTGTGACCGAAAAAAAGGAATCGATAGGACTGATAGCGAATACACCCTCATTTACCTTTAATAATTTCCAATGATGATTACAAAATGCAATTTCTTGTGATGTTCTTTTTTGTCATAGTGATTTTATGTTGGAAAACGAAATCACATGTAATCCACGAAAAATATTCCTACGGCGATTAGCGACATTAGAGTACTGGCAACAAGAACTACCGTCATTTGACAGAAAGGAAAAAAACAAAGCGTTACGTCCGAGGTTCAGGCTAGGCGCCTCGTGCGCCAGGCCACCTCAAGTCCGTCGGATCTGTAAAGGCCCCAAAGGCCAACAGTGGCTCATCAAGTCCAAAAAAAAAAAAAAAAAAAAAAACGTGCGACAGTTACTTTTCAGGGCCCACAGCTCCAGCCGCTGCAGGGCGTCGAGGTAGCGGCTGCTGTCCCACCGGCATTGCTCGCTCGCGCCGTTCACCGGGACCACGACCTTCGGGAACCTGTCCCAGAGGCCCAGCACGTCCGTCTGGGCGACTTCGCGGCTCCCATTCCTCGCGGCGAAGCTCAGCACCGTCCCGTTGAATATCCCGTCAGTTACGCCCTCGGGGAGGGTGAGTTCGATGCACTCGCGGGCTGCGCTCGCGCCGACCAACAGCAGCAGAAGGCATGCGCGCGGCGCCATGTCGACCCGCACAATGACGCCTCGCGCGGTGCACGCGCAAAGTAATGCCCGCCGCGGCCCGTGCACTTGAACGTCAACCCCAGCGGCGCGGGTGACAGTCGCGCGCACAATTGAATTGGGCAACCAGCATCTTCGTCCGCTCACCTTCGCCTCGCGTGGTTCGGGGGGACGAAATTTATGCGCATAATCGCACGAAGATTTACATCGCGAATGTACGTACTGGCGGCGATAAAATTGTTTTACGCAACGTTTGGTCTGTTTTAATTGTTCGTTTTGATCGATTGTTCTGTCAAGGTTATGTTTTTTCTCATTTACTTAATTTTTTTAGGGTTCTGTACATGCATACATAAAAAAGGAATCCTTATAAGATCACTCCTCCGATCATTTGCCCGTCTGTCTGTCCGTGTCTCAGGAACTGGTGGACCTAACAAGTTGAAATTACGATAGGCCTTATTAGGTGTATAAAAATCAAAGTCCTGAGTCAAAACGATAAAAAGATATGGGCAAATATAGATTTGCACGAAAATCTCTTAAGTACCAAAATTTATCTTAATTTCAATTATTTTTCGGATTTTTTCCTTTACTTTACTTTAAGCTTTTAACCAAAATTGACAATTACAGGTAAACCGGAAGTACCCGGTTTTCGGTCGAAAACCTATGGTAGTTCCCGTTGACCTAGAATCACGAAATTTGGCAAAAAGCTAGGTCTTACAGCAAAATTACAGGAAAAAAATCTGAAAAATCTAATAAGTTGAAAATGAAGGTAAATTTTGGTACATACAAGTTTCCGCGAAAATCAGGGGCATTTGCTCAGCAGTGGGACATGAATAGGCTGATATTTTGCTTTTACTTTGCTATTCAGTATTATCGATAGAGTTGGTTCGAATTAACTAAAGACGAACTACAGCAAACAAAAAGATATATCGTTAAAGGGAACATGTATTAAATCCAGCTGGAATATTTCAAGCGGTAACCAGGCTAATGTTACCAACTACGTAGATGCTGATTAAAATTCTATAATTTCCGTGGATTAATTGCTACAAACTACCAGCCGGCAGTCACGTCAGCTGTTGTTAAAGGGCTATGATCTCATCAAGTTAACTAACAATGGATTCTATACGTGATAAATATAAAGTCCATTTTCAATTTATAGTTCTAGGGCTATAAGTTAGATTTTGGCCATCGTTGGAATGAATTATTTAGGTGACCAGCTAACTAAATTGTGAGCTTGTGATTCATTGCGGTTGGATGAAGAGACGGAAATAATATTTTTTTATTATATACGTTATAGTACAAAATCTGTGAAGGTATTGAAAAAGCCTTCTTATTTGTTAATACGGTGACTCCGTGGCGCAGTTGCTAAGGTATTGGCTACGGCGTCGGGGGTCGTGGGTTCGATTCCCACACGGGACAACTATTTGTGTGACCCCCAGATAGTTGTTTCGCATCTGCGTGTTTCTCCGCGTGAAATTTATGTTTGTAAAATGTTTTTACAACACAAGCTAATTTTATCCTAAAGTAAGGGCAATGTTTTTTTTAAACTGCTCGCTGCTTTAATATATTTGGGGGTGTATCAAAGATCATCAGAGTAGTAATATCTATTCATGCCTTCGGAGTCGACAGGTGAATAAGATTTGGATGATCTGACGTCGGATCATTTGGCACACCACAGGAAATTTCTAATATTGAGTATTGTATCCGCCTATCCCGAATCGTAGTTACGGATGGAGTGAATAGAAACTGATTGTTTACCGGAGATTTTGTTATCCATGTAAACGCGGACGTATTGGAAGGAGCATTTCATGTTCCAGCGCTTAATCTGGGGATCACGAGACTTGCCGGAGGAGGGGCTGTTGAGGCGACCACCGCAGACGATGTTGCACATGTGTACGGATGTTTCCCGTGACCCTGCCGATATGCGCCCTAGGTGAAACATTGTGATCGCTTTCTCAATGGGGTTTCTAAAGGAATATGAATTTTTAATCGGTGGAATTCGGACATAGCCCGTCGTTGTCCCTAGGATGTGAATTGTCATAACTATAAAAAAACTAGCTGACCCGGCAAACGTTGCTTCGCCATTTAAATTATTTGTAGGGTACAAAAAAATGTTTGGGGTGGACCACCCTTAACATTTAGGGGGATAAAAAATAGATGTTGTCCGATTCTCCACCCTGGCCGATATGCGCACAAAATTTCACGAAAATCGGTTTAGCTGTTTTGGAGGAGTTCAATTACAAACACCGTGACACGAGAATTTTATATATTAGATATATTTACTGCGTAAATCGTCTGTCCAATCCATTTGGGCTTTAATAATTGCGTCTTAGTATATTAATAAAAAAAACAAGTTACATTAACCGCCTTCCCTCTATATCGTTAAGGAATTTACATCAAACAGAAGCCGGCTTCTATCGAAATGGCTGCTATTATTTAACAATTCCGACAACACCCTGACCATTCTAACGATGATTAAATCAATTATATTTCCATAAATTATTCATTTGTCTCAGTCTTCGATAATTTTCTTTTACTAAAAATGAGCCGTCGATAACAATCATTGAGACGTACTCGAAGGTAAAAGTGTCATTAACAAATATGTTTTCATAATCTTTTTTTTTTATATCTGTAGAGAAACCTTGATTGGGAAAGGGTCAAACTTTTAAACTCCATTCTAAGTTCGCTAGTTCTTAATAACTTTAATGTTTTAAGCAGACGGTCAAGGTTTTCTAGGGTTTTAAAAATTCAACAATGCACACCTTAAAGCACAAATAAAAGTTTACACTGTTCTTTAAAAATTATATTTAAAAAGCAAAGTGTATAAGAGCAATTGACATGGAACTTGCGTTATACTCTAAAAACCATGATACGCGTTGTGTTTACCATAACTACACTGCTTCAGTCTAAGGAATGTAAATAATCTAAATAAGACAGAGTAAGGCTTGAGTCAGACTTGCATGTTAAAATCGTTGCAGTTTGGATTTAGATGTACGATAAATTCATAGCGAAGGCCGAAAGTTGGGCAAGTAAAAAAGAAAGGAAGCTATGTATGCATTTTGAAACGAGCAAATTAATTTCGATATTTAATCACATTTGAATACTCTATGTCTTAATGAAGAATGAGCAACCTAGACAGATTAAATGTTTCAACAAGGTTTTGATGTAATGCTCTAGGTGTGTTAATTTTAATTCCTTATTCAGTCATTCATTCACTTATTACCGTTTAGTTTCTTTTCTTACTAACCCTTCCGAGTCCAAGGTGGGTGACATTGGCTTAGCATAACATCGATGTAGATTAGAAGTTCAACAGGCAATGGTGATGATGAAGACGAATGTAATTACAACTAATAATTTTAAGCCATTGTATTTGATTTATGTTTAATCATTAGTATTGTAATAATTAAATATTAAGTAAAGATAGTTTGCTTGCTTCGTGCACATGTTTGCTAGTGTCTATGTTTGAAGAGCAATAAGATATTGTGACGTCTGTAGCGAAATTTAAATAATTTGTTCGTTAAAAATGACCTTGAATATTAATCACGGTGGTAGGGCCACTCAGCAGCCTCGGCTTTTGCACGAATGGGCAAGCTCGTCCGGGTGAGTACCACGACCTCACAGAAGACCGGCGTAAAGTGGAAGTATAATAAATAACACTTTCGCCTTTCGTTTAGTGAGGAGGTGGCTGGATCCCAATTCCCAAAAGGTTTTCGACGCATCTGGAACCCTCGGGTGTTGCAGATGGCCATGGGCGGCGGTATTCAGTTAATATCAGGTGAACCGTTACTCGCTTGGCAACTTTTCACTAAAAAAATAATAATAATATTCAGACTCAATAGAATATAGAAATAGAGTTTTTTAAACTCGATATGGATAAACTCGATGGTCCTTGGAGTGTAAGTAGTTGAGAAATAAATTAAAATTTTTAAGATTTCAAAAATAAAAATAATTTCTTCCTTCATTCATTCATTCATTGATTACATATTACTTTAGCAATTCACAACAATAGAAAAAACTATGGATTCTTATTACTTGTCTTAAGTATAAATGTCATTGTTTTTATTTGTAAAAATACTACTCGTAAGTATCTTTTAGTAGTATATTTAGAATATTTTCATCTTTTTACATTAATCATCATCATTTTTCCAACGGCTTTGAATCTGTCGTAAAATTTTAATTCAATGTCCAATACAGTATACACTTTAAAGTTTTTCAGGGTCATTTCTACAATAATTAAACCGGCTGAACCGATTTTGATGATTACATTTACTCTTTTTTTGTTTCACTGGGTATATTATAATAATGCATAAATTAGCTGAATGTTTTTAAAAAAGAACGTACTGTAGTCAGCTTTGTTTTATGTTAAAAGTTGGCACGGTTGTAAGAAGGCGGTAATTCATCTTGAATTACCGCCGTCTATAGACATCAACAGAGCTTTAAGGGTTGTAGATGCCTTGCCCACCTGTAGAAAAAGGGTGGGTCCAGACATACCACTTAATAGTCCACTTTTCGGGGAAGTACCACGGTCTTCTATGAGACCGTGGTACTTCCCCGGATGCTTTTGCCCATTCTGCTGCAGAAGCTACTGCGATTTGTCGTAATAATAAAAATGATTTCACTTGTTGTAATTATACATTTGTTTAAAAAATCAGAGATATATATCAACAAGAAAACTATATGTATCGTTTGTTATTGTATGTAAGTAGATAAAAAATGGTCGGGTTCCAATTCCTTTGACGTAGTCCAATTAATTTAGTGTTTTTAGACATCTTAGTTGCGAATTATTGCTATTATGTTTCATGTGCCTAAAGACTCACAACTACTTCTAAATCTAGGACTAATAACATCTAGCATGGAGTGCAGTAGCCTCCTTCTGCGAGACTGTGATGGTCAAGAAGGGGGCTGCTGAGAGGGAGAGAAAGAGGACAGATCCCTCTCGGAGACGGTGTCACCGAGACGAGGATACACCTCGTTACGGTCCTCCATACATAAATGGTGTTCCTCTACCAGAAACGGGGCCTCAGGGATCACGGGTGACTGGGCCGCTATAGGTTAGTACAGCGAACCTTAGGGCGAACCAAGTAGGTTCAAGCTATTGTGGTTGCACTACAGGGTTGGGTGATGTTACTGGGACGAGGCTATTTAAGCCAAGCCAAGGGGAGCCGCGGTAGTGTCCAAAACGGAGATCCCGTGTCCCCCCATAAAGCTCATGGCGATCTCAACGCATCTGCACCCCGAGGGTTGCAGATGTCCATGGGCGGCGGTATTCACTCAAGATCAGGTGAACCGTCTGCTCGCTTGGCAGCTTTTCACATAAAAAAAAAATATATATATATATAAAACTAGCGACCCGCCCTGGCTTCGCACGTGTGCAATGTATTATACATATGAACCTTCCTCTTGAATCAGTCTATGTAGTAAAAAACACCGCATTAAGATCCGTTGCATAGTTTTAAAGATCAGACGACTTTGTTTTATACTATGTAGTGATGTACAGGAAAGAGACGTTTACATTTCAAGTGACATTTTACCATAGTCACTCACTTCCCGGAACTCCTTCACTAACATTTAAACTTTATTTAAAATTTATAACACTTAACTATATTTAACTTAAGATTAAACATTAAAAATTGTAGAAAAAGTACAAAAAGATTGTCACCGCTGTGGGAATCGAACGAATCGAAATGTTAATAATCTAAAGTGCAGAGATTAGCTCTATAAAAAACTTTAAACAAAACTTTTCTACAGACCCGTACAAAAAGATTCGTATTAATACTTAAAAGCCAATTTGAACTTTAATTTCATACCATAAAGTTTAAAACTACGCAACGGATCTTAATGCGGTGTTTTTTACTACATAGAGTGATTCAAGAGGAAGGTTCATATGTATAATATTGCACCCGTGCGAAGCCAAGGCGGGTCGCTAGTTTTATATATATATTTTTTTATGTGAAAAGCTGCCAAGCGAGCAGACGGTTCACCTGATCTTGAGTGAATAACGCCGCTCATGGACATCTGCAACACCCGAGGGTTGCAGAGGCGTTGACAACCTTTTGAAAATCGGACTTCGGCCACCTCACTCACCAGACGAAACGCGAAAGTATTATATATTACTTCCACTTTACGCCGATCTTCTGTGCGGTCGTGGTACATACCCGGACGAGCCTGCCAAAACTGCTGTAACAAAAGAATCTGCTGCGTGGCCCTACCACCGTGAAATATTTAAAAAATTTCTCTTGTTTTTTTCTTATTTAGTATATATTTCTTATGTGTACATATTTGTAATAATAAAAATAATATATTTGTAATAATAACGCTTTTAGTGCACAAGCAAAACATTTTTTTAAACTGATTGGACCCCGTGTTATTAATGATTAATTCAATAATATAATAATATATTAATTCTAAGTTATTGCTGATGTTAAAAATGTTTACTCCTTGTTATACAGGAAGTATGGAAAACAAAAACGTTGTTGATTAGTTGCTTGAATCACAAATTATTTTACCTGTTTAAAACCGCTTAGATAAAGGTTCACGGAGTAGTGCAATAGCCCTTGATTGTAGCTGGTTTTGCAAGTTAAACCGCCTTGCACAGGCGCATTCTTTGAAGGACAAGGACGCTGTTTTGTTTAACATTTTTAACGCCTCGTGCCTGAAATGTTTTAGTGGTTTTTATTTAGTTTCTTCATACGTCATTCATACATTTCATACACAGGATATGGCATATTTTAAACAGTTAGGCAGCAGAATTTTTGAACCAGATATTTTATTGTAGTACGGATTGGGTAGGTGGTTTTCGGTTTATTCTTGCGGATCGATTTTCGACCGTCTGTGTTTATTTATTAACTTTTGTCTTTTTCGTAAATAACTGTGATAAGCCCACGTAATATGTTGTTGCCGTACTGGCTAGACTCCTATCCAGAAAAGTATCGCACAATCGGCGTGAAATGGAACTGTTATGCTTTTGCTTTTCGTCTAGTGGGTGAGGTACTCGCAGCGCCCACGTTTTTACAGGTTGGCGACGCATCTACAATGACATTCACTTAAATTTCTTATATTTATGTAACATTTAAGATACGACATATGTCAGATAAGTTTAACATTTAACAAGCATATTTTTCAAAGTTCACACTATAATGAGTTATAGCAAGAAAGCTCAATCTTGGAACGATTTCATTCAATTTAGCTTTTATTATTCGCTAGTAGGCTCCAAAAGCCACTTATATTAAATGTAATTCTTTGAAGTATATTTAACATTTACGAATTTGCCATTTTTAATGAGAGTTCGGAGCTAGTTTATTAACAAACTGATCATGCGACAGATCTGATGCAGTAAATCTTGGTAACATGCAAACTGCATACGCGATGCGACGTCCAACATACTCGTATGTCAGTCACTACCACATTACAAATTATGACCAAAATCAACGTAGTTATTAGCGCATACGTATGTGTCGTAGGTATTTGTGAGTGTTTATTGAGTGAGCTTATGTGAGTGTTTATTTTATCACATCGATCGCTAAATTACTTTAACCCAGATGTATTGTACTAAAAATTTTATTACGCTGTCTAAATGTAACAATATTCTCATTTATTATTATTGATTTAACCATTAAAAATGAACAGGCAGTTCAATCAGATATTAAGCGATTAGCGCCGGTCATGATATGTGATTACTCCATCTGAGGAGTTACAGGTCCGTTATCGACCTTTCAAAATATGGACCGGTTAGTTATTGTTCTTCGCGTTACCCGAACTAAGGCCCGCGGGTCTTCCTCTCGCGGTTCTTTCCCGGAGGAACATGGCCCTACATCGTTATACCACTATGTTGGAGTCACGCGTATATTATTACTATTTTTTATAATTTTTTAAAATTGCCTTACTTTAGGATAGCAATATCCCGTGTTGTAAGGACGTTTTAAAAACATAAATTTCACGCGGACCAACACCCAGATGCGAAACGACTATCTGTGCGTCACACAAATAGTTGCCTAGAGTGGGAATCGAACCCACGACCCCGACGCCGAAGCCAATACCTTGGCAACTGCGCCACGGAGTCCTCTAATTAAGTTTTAGTTAGTTTAATAAAGTTTAGAGCTGACATCATAGTTTAACAGTATTGGTTTCTTAAAGTTTTTATAGTGTTAATCTTGCAAAGATAATCATAAGAGGAAACATTAAAATTCGTAAAAAATGGACGAAAAGCTTTTCGGTGATAAGAGATCTAACCCACACCGTCCGGATTAGCGCCCAGTCTCTACAAATATTAATATTGATTTATTATTTTTTGACTTGGGTATCAATCTGTGGATAGAGTCTTTTAGTCTCAGATCAGCCTTGAGCGTTTATTATACTTTATTATTGATGATACAAATGACATACAGAAGTGGGTGAATCTTATTGTTTTATTTAATTTCCACTGTTAAATCTATTTAAACAGTTTATCTAGTATTTAAAGTTAAGTCTATCTGTAGTAGTTTTTGTGCTTCGATCATCGAGTAACATATTTTAAGATACATTTTCAATTGCTGGTCTACATCCGCACGGTATGCACGGATCAGTTTCCCATTCCAAAGATTTCTTATGTATATAAAACAATGGTACTTTTTGAGCATATTTATTGCTCATCGTCATCGTAGGGCGTTAGGTGACTTGCTTCATTACTTGTCTCCTTTAGTAGGGGCGCCAAACGCGCGCATGAGCTATGAAAAAATATCATTAGCTATCTCTCTCTACCACGCCAAGAATTAATGAAAATAACGAATGTATGTACATGTGTTTCTGTTGCTTATATTAATTAGTCACAGTTTTTGGGTTAGATTTTCAATGGGATTTGAAATAAGCCACTCTAAAGTTGGATATAAGTATAATAGCTAAATCTTAGAATATGTTCAGCAGTCTATATTGGATGAAGTTTTGCTATTTTTGATATCTTAAAAAGTATTTTACCTGATTTTTTTTTATTTTTGATGTTCCCCTTTAAATGTTCGTCACGCATATGTAATTAACATCATAATTATATTACTCATAATAACTTAAACGATTTATGTCTTTAAGTTAATCTTAAATTAATCTTTTTAATGTTTGATGTCATATGTGACCGTACGTCGGTGAACCTGTTGAATAAATAAATAAATACTTAAATCTTTTAATTTCTAATATAACACTCTTGAAAACAAATCAAAAGAAAGCATGGATAGTTATCCGCACAGATATTTAAATAGTTTAAATGGCCACCCCACCAAAGCATGCTCATATGTAAATACCTGATATACATATATAAATAGCAGTTTCTAGTCTATATTTCGGGTCCAAAAGTGTAGTAACAAGCTGACTTAAAGACGAAATGTTATCGGCCTATACCCCTCATGGTTCGTAACGCCGCGGTACCAATGCCTGGTGTTTCGAATGACCATGGCAGTTTACCGTGAAGAGAAAATTCAAGCAGACATGCTTCGGTAGCCAGATTGCTACGTTCTGTATAAATAAATATAAACTTGTGTAAAATAATTATGTACGTTAGCAGGTATGTTTGATGTAATCACTTCATTTGCCATTGGCAAATATTACATTGTACCTGTTTTGTGCACAGTATATCTATCTTCTAATAACAATATAACATTATCAGAATTAGTCATTTTTTCTTTTTTTATTATCTTCGTGCATGAATATTAAAATGAGAATGAGAATATGCTTATTTATTATTTTTCATATTTTATTAATTTCCTATTCAGGAGAATACTACACATTACTACGAGTAAGTGGAATTTTTTGCACGGATTATTCGCGTTTATTTTAATTTTAACTTATAACGTTTCAATCTAGATCTCTGTGTAGACTTCCATAATTAATAACTTAAAACGCTGGCTATCGCCAGGGTTGACAAAGACATACAATTCTAACGCCTAAACCTGACTATAAATGTTGCAATGCATTCGAAAAAATATCTAGACTATGGGAAATTTAACTATTGGTTTGTAATTTTTCACGGCTGTCTTATGATCTTATATATAACGGTTTCACGTTACATAAAATTTTAAGACTGCTAGGGTTCAACACTATCAGTAATGCATAAATTAATTACGTATTTTACGATATTAGTGGAAACGCCATCGTATGTTTGAGACTATTATTACGAGTTTAGGCAGTGTTTGAAACAGGTAGAATAAATAATGAACTTAATGTGGAGTTTTTTTTAATTTTACTTATTATTTGTTTTATACATTTATTTATATCAATTATTCATTTAGAATATTTAACATTGATTCCTGTGGTAAACAATTTGATTACATTCATTGTTAGTCACATTTATGAAATGATTGGTAGATTTATTATTTTTTTATAATTTAGCTAAATTTTTATGATTAAAGTTATTCCTTATATTAGGTTTTAATCTATACTAGCTGACAAGATTAACTTAATTTAGGCTTTTATGAACGTTTGACAATAAATAGAAAAGAAATATTAAATTTATTACTATATTTAATGGAGAAAGAGAAAAAAATAGAAATACAAAAATACGTACTAAAACCGGCGTATGCTGACATGATTGAATTAAAATATACATT